ATAATCGGTACGGATGGCATTCGTATCTTTGGTATGGGAAAGTGAAAGTCCACAAGAGTTTCTTAAACCATATTTTTAGGGGACCATTATATCAAGCATGGGAAAGGAACAAAAACCTCCTTGAAAGAAAGACCCCATGGTGGATTTCACCAATAGAGGCTTTAACGGTCAAGAAAATAAATATGGAGGAGATAAACGCCACCTATGAAGAAATGTTAAGAAAAACAGACCAAGGGCCCAAACTTAACCTTATGAAGAAATAAAAATTTATTCACTGGTTGGCTGCAATACCACCAGGTGAATGATTTGTTAAAAGAGGATAAGAGGAAGGTGGGTTTTGATGATAAAAAATCAAAATTTAATATAGAAGTAATAGAAGGCAAAAACAAAATCCTGTCCAGAATTTATGATATACTATTAGAGTGGTACACAAAGGACGAGGAGGTGAAGGAGGCAATGATTAAATGGGCAATTGACTTTGGTTATAATATTGATTTCGAAAGGTGGATAGAAGTTTGGAATTGTAACATAAAGTTCACAGCATGTATGGCACTGAGAGAAAATATCTGGAAGATGCTATATAGATGGTACCACACCCCTGTGAAACTGGCCAAAATGTATAGATTAAAGGACAAGAGATGCTGGAAATGTGGCGAGGTGGAGGGTGACCTATATCATTTATGGTGGACATGTAAAAAGGTGAAAGGCTTTTGGGAATCAATTTATAATGAACTTAAAAAAATATTTAAGTATACCTTTCCCAAGAGGCCTGAAGCCTTCTTGTTGGGAATGATGGATAAAGAAATTAAAAAGGAAGATAGGACGATATTCCTCTACGCCACCACAGCAGCAAGAATTATGTTGGCACAATATTGGAAAGTGGAAACTATCCCCAACATAAAGGACTGGCAGATTAGAATGGTAAACTATGCTGAGCTTGACAAATTAACAGGTAAAATAAGAGATCAGGATGAACAGAAATTTCTGAAAAATTGGAGCAAATTTTGGAAATATATTGGAATAAATGTTTAAAGTGAACTGACGGGGTTAGAACAATACGACCAGCGAGTGAATTTAAGACTATAGACTGAAAATCAAATACGTAATGGAAGGAGATATTTGATATTTATCAAAAGGATGGAAGGAAGTTCAGATTGTGTGTTTTTCTTTTTTCGGATGAGTGTTTTTGTTTTTTTTTCTTTCTTTCTCTTTCTTTGTAATTTTTTCTTTGTATTTTCTTATATGTTTGTTTTTGTGTATAACTTCAATAAAAATGCATTTAAAATAGAAAAACAAGCCACACAGAAGTAAGGTACTCATTGCAACTCTGCCTTTTGCGGCTCTGCATACAGGAGACTTTTCAAGGGAAACATGCAAGCATTCTAGCGCACACACATGAGATAATCCTTGAGCTGAAGTTGGGGACCAGCCAGCAATATGTGAATTAAGAGTAGGGATGGCTTGGCAAGAAACCATTGTGTTGAAGCAACTCATAAACTCCTTGACAGCTTTAGCCCCCTCTGCACAACCTCCCAGAGGGGGTGGTGGAAAAACGGTCTCATACCTCACCACAAACCAATTCCTTAGGTATGACATGAGCTCCCACAGTCTACTGGCAGCTCAGCAGGAGAGCCAGACTCAGCATTCCTCTCTGGACTGGAGAAAAGTGAACGGGTCATTTCCTAAGATTTTACAGTTGTGAGATACTCAGGGGAGGTGGGACGGAGGCTCTGGGAGAATGCAGCCCTCAAGTGACAACAGTGACACAATAACTCTGTTAGACCCAAATAATAATCACAAATCAGCGAGCCAGCTTCTGAGTTTCACAGGACTATCCCTCAGAGCTCAGAGGGAAAGAAGCGAGAGGTGTGGAGGGGAAACACTGCTGGTAGAGTCATGGTCAAAATCTCATCTTGCAACATGGTGCTGTCTAAAGGTTAACAAATTTATTGCATGGTGGCACAAGCTTTCATGGACTTAGGGGCAGGGCTTTTTTTCCAACCAGAACTCTCAGGTGGGCACCATTGCTATTCTAAGAGAATGAGGGAGGTGTTCATGTTGAGTTCCAGTGCCTCTTTTTCTAGGAAAAACAGTAGTGCGGGGCATGTGTCTACAAAAGCGAATGCCATAATAACTTGGTTAAAGTTTAAGGACCCATGAGACTCTTTGATTATTTATTTACTTACTTACTTACTTACTGCAAGAGACCAAGATGGCTACCCCTCTGGAAAGCCTTAAGATGAAAATTCATGAAACTCTTAACTAGGTTAGACTGTAACCACAGGCTGCACCAGATTATACTGGGACAAAGAAGCAACGCCAAGATGCTTCTGAAATATAAATGCCTGCCTTTCTCTGCATCCATCTCTGGGACTGAACTCCCAGGTCTCTTGTACAGCAGAGAACGGAAGTGAAGGAAAGCATTATCTGTCTATCAGTATTTATGCCCCACCTTTCCACTGTAAATAATGCTCAGGAGTAGTTCGGAGGAACAAAACCCACTCTGACATTACTATTTTTGACAAAACAAACAATACCGTTTAAAGGGATGCTAACCTTTTTACTGGTAGCTGCAAGGCAAGTATGCAAAGCATTGGAAGCATAAACAGGGCCGTCTTAAGCATACCCGGCGCCGTGGTGCAAAGATCCGGGGACAATGACTGGGAGCAGGGCTGTCTTTAGCAGATGCAGAGCCTAAGCCTCTGCGGGGATCGCTCTCCTCCTGTGGAGGCTTGGGAAAAAAGTAGCACACACGCCCACCATATAGTTGGTGGGGCGCAGCTGGCGGGCATGCAGGGAAAGGGGAGGCTGCCGGCAAAGCCGTGCAGCTCCCCCACTCGCAAGGGTGCCCCTGAGAGGCCAGCACCTTGGAGTAACAAACCACTAAGACCAATGGGAAAGACGGCTCTGAGCATAAGGATGGATGGATGCTACAATAATGGTAAAAACTATGCCTGGAATAATGCACCAGTTGAGAAGTTGACCAAGTAAGTCTAAACACTGAGATGGCCAGACTATGAGGATGATTTATTCTCTCAAGTGTTTCTTGTTGAAAAGTCAAATGCAATCACACAGTTAAATTAGAGCCACTCCACCAAGATGTCAAAGTGGGTGGAAGATTCTGAATAGATAAAAGTACAGCACATAGTTAATCTATGGAACTCACTCCAGTAGAAGGCAGTGATAGGCACCAACCTAGATGGCTTTAAAAGAGGATTAGACAAATTTTGAGGGCTATTGATAGCTACTAGCCATGATGGCTGTGCCATACATCCACAGCTGGAGATAGCAATGCTTCTGAATACCAGTTGATGGAAATCACAGGAGGAAAGAAGTGTTCTTGTACTCGAACCTGCTTGTGGATTTCCCACAGTTAACGACTGTGAGAATAGGCTACTGGAATGGATGGATCATTGGCGTGATCCAGCAAGCTCTTTTTATGTTCTTAATGTTAGAATGCAAGAAGACAAAGCCATTACCCATGGATGCAGTCAGTTTGAATATGGTTAACAGTCATTAGGACACGATGCTAAATTTAAAAGCTTGTTTTCATCCCCTGTGGATTTTCAGAGTGCGTCATTCCTTCATTATTTGACAAACTGTTCCCCACCCCCAGCACACACTCCTCTGCTAAGTATTATTGTCTCCATCCTTCTGGTTGGACTGTCTGTGTTCTCCCTAGCTTCAGGCTATGGGTTCATTTAGACTGGGCTTATTCCCAAGAGGTTTCCACCCACATCCATATGTCCTGCTTGCAACTGCTTGTGTCAATCTCATCCACACTTTGATAGCTCGAGATTAAGAGTCAATTGCATGTTTTAAGTTGGGCCACATTCACAAGTGATGCGAAGAACACCACCATTTACAGTGGGATGTGACACTTAGGAATGTGATTATTAATATGCAACAGGAAGCAGAAGAAAAGTCGTTTTAAAACTGGACATGCATTGTAACCAATGTCGGTTTTGCATTCAGCATATACATATTGGAAATTCAAAGTAATTTAAACAGTGCTTCTGAAAATGGGCTGCTTTTTACACTCTCTGGAAAGAGCAGTCTCATGGGGGAACTGGTAGCTCATTTAGCACAGTCTCAAGAACTGACATGGTACATACTAGATCACTGAAGATTTCAGAAGTTGCTAAATCAATGCAATCCTTGGAGGGCTCTTATGAGTGAAAAACATGACACAAAGTAATGTGCAAAATGGCATTGTGAGTTTCTTCTAGGCTAAGACTGAGCTGGTAACTTACAGACATCAAGGTGCTAGGGCAACATTTTCACTAGAGATACAATTAACACTTTTTAACTGTGCAATGCACCACTTTTGAACATGGGACAAAATGTGAAAAAGAGCAGTTTTAAAACAAGCCTGTTTAGATGACATTGGCTTTATTTTCAAAACTGAGGTGTGACAGGTGCCAAAACATCACCCTCGTGGTAGTGCCAAAGCCACCCTCATGGTAGTGCCAAAGCCACCCTCATGGTAGTGCCAAAGCCACTTAATTTTAATGGTCACAATGCAATGTGCAAGCTCTCAAGAGTTGCACGAAACTTGTCCTCAAGCCAAATCTTTGGGTTTTAAATGACAGAAAAGGAATGAAAAGTGAGGGAGGTGAAAAAGGGGCTTGGTGCAAACGGCCACATTCATGTTGCATGTATCGCATCTGTGGGATGAAACCCACATTGAGCCTGCACTGCAATGCCTGTGTCCGAGAGAAGGAAGAGGCCAAGAAGGCAGTTTCCAGACTCTGGCAAACGTTGCACGGAGTCCCCATGGAAGAAGGCGAGGAGGAGGAAGACGCAGGGCGGGAATTGGGGTAGGACTAGCCTCTGGGGTCGCTCCAGCAACTTAGGCCCAGCTTGAGTTTGCCCTCTCCGAGCTGGCCCGCCTTTTGTCTCCAATTCCACGAGGGAAGGGGGGCGGGAGGAGGAGGAGCCTTGGAAGGAACTTTGGGCTCCCCAAAGTACCTTTGGTGGTCAGCTGGGCGTGACGTCAGGGGCCGCCGCCGCCGCCGTGCCGCGCAAGGTTGTGCCCACATGTGACCAGCTTAAACTAGTTCTGAAGACACAAAGGGAAAGGCAAGGCGAGATAAGGAGCCAGATAGCGGGGCGGGCGGTGGAGCAGGGCCAGGCGAGCGGCACGGCAAGCAGGAGGAGCAGCCTTCGTCACGACAGAGCGACCCAGGCGCCGGCAACGAGACCCGCAGCATCCATCCAGGCAAGTCACGCACCGGGCGCGCTCTTCTTGCGCGCCAAACTTCGCCGCCGGCGGCGGGAAAGGGGAGGCCGGCGCCCAAAGTGGCGCGCGGCGGAGGAAGGTGCGCTCCGCAGAGCCGTGCCCGGGGGCGGGGGCGGGGGACCCCGAGCGACTCGTGTACCTTTGTGAGGAAAGCCTCGCAGCGCTTGAGTTTGCTTTCCCCAGCCCCATAAAGCGCCCATGTTTGGAGTTCCCCGGGAACTTTTGCTCGAGCAGCCTCGAGCGAAGATCATCCCAGTCCAGTGTAAAGGCTGTAAGGCACGTTTGGTCACCGGCACGGCGGGCGGGCGGGCGGGAGGGTGACGAGGCTCCATCACAAATGAAAGGGGTCTTTCCCCGGCGCTCCCGGAGCCTCTCCAGCTTTTAAAGAAAGGGGCCGAGATGATGCTGAGGCGCGAAGTCACCTTCTCCGAGAGGAGGAAGCGGGAAAGAGGAGCGGCGGGATAGCCGTTCAGAGCTGATCCCTTTCGCCGGTTGTTTCCTGCCCGGCCAGATAACATTGATGGTGAAGGGACGCGCCGGATCGGTTGGTTGAAACTTTTTTGCCCCAGGATCTTTGGGAGTCCGGCAAGAGTCTGGATGCTGAGACGCCACGGAGAACCAACCTGTATCTTTCTAGTTCCCCCAGAAACTAGTTCCCCCACCGGTGTGCTGCAGGGTGAAGAGAAAGGGTGGGAAGACTTCTCTGGGTCTGCCGCTGTGTGCCAGGTGCAAATCTTGAGTCCTGTGTTTCCGACCTTTAGTTACAAGGGAGTGTTGTTTTATTTGTGTTCTGAGCACTAGGTTCATTATACTAACTGGCATCACATATACAAGATCACACCCATGCTCTCCGTAGTAAGCAATCTGAAAGATCAGTCTGCATACATATAGTGTGTGCGCACATATGTTTGCGAGCATACATTGAAAGTGGTCGCAATGGAGCAACCAGGGCTTAAAGAGCGCTAAGTTACTTACGTGAGTTAGAGCCTGTACCCTTATTATCTTTAGTAAGCTTTCTTCTGCCCAGACATCTCTGTAGAAGTGCATGTAGCTCACTTTGCATCTGCCACCCTCTAATCCGGATTCTTTGGGCTAATATTGCTAGTGACTGGAGATGTGTGTTTGTGACTTGGTTATTCCTGATCCCTTTAAGGGTCTGCAAAAGATGCCCTTGAGATCCCACCCAGCTCCAAGGCAATTTTGGTTGCGGAATTTTTTTTTTATTTTTTTGAGGGGAAACAGAAGAGTGGGGTCTCTGTTCAGTCAGTCCCACAGTGGTATGCTTTATGATTATGCACGGAGGGAGAATTTCAATGGCTGCTGGTCCTTTCTCCTGCTGCGATTGAGACAGTGCTGTGCATTCCTCCTTTGGTTCTGTTGTTGCTGGAGTTGACCCTCGCTCAGCACGGAACTCCCCAAACCAGGCAGGAGCCAGGCATTTTGGAGCACAAGAATGCATCTCATGCAAAATGTGAGCACCTCTATTGAAAAAGCCCCTCCACTTGGATCTGCTCCAGCTTGGAGAAGAATGAGAGAAGGTTGTTGTCGTCTGTCTGCCATTCCACCCCCCACCGCCACCCCATGGCTGGTTCCAGGAAGGAAGTGTCCCAGTGAAACTAGGACACCTCGTTTCACTCTGAGCGCACACACACTCAAACTGTGTGTTTCTTTTTTGAGAGGGGAAGTGGGTGGTCAAGTCTTTAAAAAACCCTTTCACTAGCTGTTGCAGCCATGGTTCAGAACCCTTCGTAAAGGGGGCTTCCCTCAGAGCTCAGTGTGTTTCCTCTACCAAGCCTTGATCCATGCTTCTTTGAAGCGGGTCTTTATCCAGCCTTATAGATAGATGTAGCAGCAGAGATGCAAGGCTGCATCCTGCTCTTCTGATACTCCTGTTCTGGGATGGTCTCCACACACCCAAAGCCTGAAAACTCTTGGCAACAAGGAGGTACTGAGGTAATTCCTGTTTCTCCCCCACCCCACTCAATTACTCTTCAGGATCTTGGGCTATGGCCAGAATGCACAGAGCTGTGCACTTTTAAAAACCTTCTGAAACTACTTCTACAGTTGGAATTCAGACCAGTTTGTCATATATTTAACAACTTTAGATTCACTGTTCTGTTTGCAAGAATGCTGTTTTTTCCTTCCCATGTTCTTGGAAATTTTTGAGTAGCTGTAGTAGGTGTTTAGGAGGGTGTTCAAGAACACATTTTAGGTCCTGTCTTTCATTTCAGTCTGCAGTCCTAATGAGCTGGTGGGGTTGGGGGAAGTGGCCACTTTATTAAAGCCAAGAATCTTGGAATTCTGCAGAATTTGAAACTGGATTTTAAGCCATGATAGTGTTGAGACCTCTGACTGTGTCTCTAAATGCTCTCCTACCCTTGAGTTTCTTGATGATGATGGTACCAGTTTCTCTCTGCATCTCCACATGCCATTATGATTTGTTAAAATTTGATCTGTTTTGCATGGTGATGATAAACCAGTACGGAAGACCTCAATCAGAAAAGCAACATTTCTTCCATTCTGTCAGGGTAGCATTCCTGTTATTTTGCTGGCCAAAAGGTCATGTTAAGAGTAGGGATAAGGGAGAGGTTTGCATTCAAAGCTGAACTTAACCAAGTTCATCCTTTCTGAAGTAATACATAAACAGAAACACTTCCCTGAATTTTGCAGTGCAGTTCTCCAGCCAAGAAAGGTGTAAAGAAAATGCATGTACTGGGTAAACTTAACACACGCGTAAAAATGCATAATATTAGGGGAAGTTGCTTTGGGGAAAAATGTATTAGAGCAAAACTGCATACAAAAATGGATTTATTAGGAGAAATTCACACTAAAATACTGGTGAATTTCCATGAGAATTAAAAAAGAAGATAGAAAATTGCTACAGAAATGTAGAGAATTGAATTTAAGATTGGAAAAATGAGAAACAGGGAGAACCGAAATTGACAGATCCATCCATCCCTAGTCAGGAGCCCCCATGTCTGTCTTTCAACCATTTACCAACCATTCCTGAGACTTGTTATGTATAGCCCTCTATGGGTTCACTCCACCTTTTAGAGAATAAAGCCTCCTTATGTACCCTAGCCTCTTTAGCTTTATTATTTATTTTTACATTTATACCCTACCTTTCCCCCAATGAGTTCAAGCTGGTGAATGTTCTCCCTGTCCTCCATTTTATCCTCACAACCCCCCTATGAGGTAGGTTAGACTGGGTGGTCCCTGGACACCCAAGTGAGCATCACTTTCCTTGGTTTCAGTGCTTAAATGCCATATACCCAAAAGACTGCACCACATATTTTTGATTTCACTGTGTGACCACCCTGTTTAAAGTTGTGGTGGTTTCATTGGGTGCCTCCCAGTGGGATTATTTTGTCTTGTTTTTCAAGTGCCAGGTGTGCTGATTCAGGGCATCCAAGGCTAGCAAGCTGCATGGGAATAGTGGGAATCCATCTTGCTGGATGGATGCAGCCCAGGTAAATGGAAACATTTGCAATGTTTGGTGCTTCTTCCTTGACAATGCAGTCTTGTCCTATTGACTTCAGTGGGGCTTGCTCCCAGGTAAGCTTTGTCCTCATTCCAGATGGATGCTTAGTCAGTGGGGAAGGAATCTCGGTGGGATGCAGCCTTATACAGAGATTTTGCTTGTGCCATATATACCCCAGGAAACATTTGCAATGGTGAGGAAGAGGAGGGGGCCTGAGAATAGAAGGTGGTAGGAGAGGAGGCAGGGAAGGAAGGATCTGAAACCTGCCTGGACACAGCCTGAGGGAAAGGAGGTGGGAGGGAGTGGAAGAATCATGCATATTGTTGAAGCTGCATTTGGCTGTAGGAAATGGAAATCTGAGGGGACTGTTGAGGTCAACTTTTCCTGCATTTTTATAAGAAGGAGCAAGGCAAGTCCAAAGATGCAGAAACACAAAGGACCCAAGAGGAAGAGTTCATGGTAAAACAGGTTGGAGAGGGCTGGGAGGAGAAGGCGTGTAGTAGCTCTCGAGACAGAGCAGGAAGCAAACACCAGAAAGAAGGTGGGTGGTCAGGGCACCTTAGCAATTCAGAATGGCTGCCACTGCCATTAAATGCCCTATGTTTTAATTTAATGGATCTCTCTTATTTGAAGTTCTTTGTCCCTTCGGACTCACAAAAGAAATCATACGTCCCTTGTTTTGGAGCCCATGGTTTTCAAAGTGGCCAGTGTTTAAGTAATTTTGTTCTGGCAGCATTTCTGTATGCAGGGGAAGAAGTTAGATGTGAGTCCTGCATAGTGATGAAAGCGAGCTTCGTGGCTCTCTCTCAAACTTCCATGTAGTCTGGCCTGGTTCTCTAAACTCACCGAGGAGTGTTGGTGAAATAGTTCAAAAGTTTTGTGAATCTGTTTATTCCCACCTAGTTTCGGAGTGAGTTAACACGATAAATCCAAACATTTTCTGAATGATATACCACCGCTATCTTATTGTGTGCAAGCGGTGCCTCTCTTTTTCTTAAAATATTCCTGCCTTCCTCACGTTGTTAGATGATGAGCTAATAATGATGCTTGCCACATAAGCATGTAATCATGTTGACATCTGCAGTGCATCATGAAGAAAATCTGTTTCTTGCCATGGAGGGAACTTTGGGTCACATCCATACCATACATTTAAAGCACTATCGTACCACTTTAAGAGTCATGGCTCCCCCCCCCCCGGATGTCAATTCTGCCTTTGAAATCCCAGTAATGTCCAGGGAAATCTGGATGTATGGCAGCCCTAGTTAAGGGTGCTGGGGACTATACCTTTGTGAGGGGTCTCCTTAAAAGCCTTAATGAACTACCATTCCTAGAATTTTTGGGGGAAGACATGGCTCTTAAAGTGGTCCAAGAGTGCTTTCAATGTGTGGTGTGGGTGTGACCCTGATGTGAAGGAAATTTGGAGGCAAAGAAATAAGGGAAAACTGGAGTGTGGGTCACTTGCAATGTAGTGGATCATGTGCTAGTTTTGAGGGTTGAA